AATATAACTTTTTATTTAAATCTACTTTAATTTACGACTTCAAGGACATCAAGTTTTTCTTGGAATTGCTTTACAACTTTATAACACTCTTTTCACATTTATGAGCCTAATAATTTTTATATAACCTATAATTGCATCTCAGTGAATATACCTCATTTTACATGTATAAATATGTAGAATCTTGAGGACTTGTTGCACTTTTAATAAAATATCTCGAAAATAACTTTAAAACAAAGTTACAAGGTTCTTAAAAATATAATAATATAAAAATTGAATTTTTAGATTTTTTGAACAAAAAATACAGTTATATTGTTCGTTAATATTAATTTTTTATTATTCACTGTACCCCTGATCTTTATTCTTCTTTGACCATCTGTTCTCTCCTGTCGTTGGAATGCTAAGGGGAGTGGAAACGGCCGAAGGAGAGAGAGAGAGAGAGAGAGAGAGAGAAGAGAGAAGGAGAGAAAAATCTTTCTTCGAGCAAGGAGGACTTCGCAGAATCGGGCGTCGTAGTTTTATTTGAGGAAACAGAACGAGACTCTGATGGAGGGCCACAAAATTAGAAGAAATCTAAGAAAATACTTTTTTTTTTCCATACCATCATGGGGATTTAGGATTTAAGAATGCATCGAGAAAGATATAAGAAGAAATATAATCTTTCCAAATTTTACGTTCCATTTGCCTCTATCTATTAATATTACAATGTTTATCATTTTTATAAATATCCTTTTCAAATATAGTTTCCAATATGCGAACGTGAGTAAACGGTTGGTAATGATAAAATCGGATCGCTCTCCGACAATTTGTGTAGTAACAATTTGCAAAATATTCAATTTGCAAAATATCACGTCGTTTAATACGAGTTGTTTTAAAAAAAGTGCAGAACTTCGTTCATAAAAATATACAGAGTAATAAAAAAAAAAAATTGAAATAACAAAGAAAAAGCAATAAAAAATTAACAAATAAATACTAACGAACGATTATTATGTTCATACGCGTGAAGAAATGGAGTGCATAAAT